TCTTCCCCTGCATCTTCTTGTACAATTAGAGCATTCATGGAGCTGTTGGAAGCCTTCTTCTTTTTGACTTCTTCAAGTTTTCGCATATAATACGCTTCATCGTCTTCACCCTCTTTCTTCTCAGCCATCTTTCTTAACATGCAATCTTTGGAAAAGTGGTTCTTGTCGTGACAGTAATTGCAGTTGTAACCAGAGTCTCCTGCAAGTTTGTTTTCTTCCACCTTTTGGGATGAGCCTTTCGGTTCTTCTTTTACCTTCTCGGAACTATAACTTCCTTGCCAATTTCGGTTCTTATTGGTAGGAAATTTTCTTCTAGCAAATTTCTTTGGATTGGTTATCATTAGAGCATACTCCTCACTTGTAAGATCACATTCTGACATGTCTGACTCTTCCTCTTCTTCAACAATACTTTTTCCTTTAGAGACAAGAGCCAATGATCCCATGCCAGAGACCACTTTCGCCTCCTTAGTTACAACACTTTCATGTGACTTCAGTATGCCAACTAGTTTCGCCAGAGAGTAGGATTTAAACTGTTCATGTGCCTTCACAGTGGAAACCACAGCCATCCATTCTGGTCTGAGCCCGTTCATGAATGTAACTTTCTGTTCGATCACCTTCCTTTCAATTCCATGCTTGATCATCTTACTTAAAAGATGATTGAACCGATCAAAGGTCTGAATGAGCTTTTCTTCAGGTTTCTGTTCAAATGCTCCGAATTCTGAGAGCAACAAAGTTTGAATAGAATGTTCCAGATCCTCATCAGTTGAGTAGAGTTCCTTCAACCTATCATTCACATGGCTTTGGCATTACACAGAATCTTGTCCTTCTCATCTTGCGGCATCTTTTGAACATCTGTTACCAACTTGTTGTAATCTTTCTGTGTCTTGACAATGGTGTTTGATTCTGAGTGCACAAACGGTCCAAGAACAATAGCTTCCCAGATGAGATAGCCATTGTCCTCGGATCCAACCACCTAATCTTCAAAGTGATGAGCCCACACTTCGTAGTCTTGAGTGTAGAGTATGGGTACTCTGGTTGTAGAACCGATGCTGTTTGAGATGTTAATAGGGTTTGAATGCGTATCTTCATGAGACATGGTGAGCTGCTAGAATCTTACCTGTAAACTTAAGATTAGGATTTTATCAAAAGCGGAGTAATCGTCGTTAAGAAGACGACGACTTCGATAAAAGTGGAAACCCTAACTATTTGTGAATACAGAAGAAAAGTGTATCGACGAACACAATCTCCTGCTCTGATACCAATTGTTAAAACAAAGTTCTTTCAGGATCGTATGATTCTAAGCAAAATATTAATAAGAACGTAAATAAGAACACAAGTATTGCGATGAAGATGTCGAATGATTAATGCAAAATACCCCAGAAGAGCTCGATAAAGAACTACAATCTGTAGAGGTATGATTAGGGTTACAAGAATCAACGTGAATGAATAATCTATTATATACGCATACATGCATGCATATCTATATAATAAAACCCTAACAACTTATCTAGATAAAGGAAACTATACTAGATAACTACGGATGGATAAGCCCAATCCGTTTACAAAACAAATAATCCAAGACGCAACACTTAAAATATTCAACACAACTTGATACGTTTGCTTTGTGTGAAGAGAGAAGAACGTGGCCGACTTCTGACCCTGCATGTGTGAAGTACGCTAAGCGTACGAAGCGAAGTACGTTGGGCGTACCCTTAAGATAATCCTTGGATTTTTGATTTATTTTTATTTAAAAACTTCAAAAATGCATATCTTTTCCATACGAGCTCTGTTTTTGACGTTCTTTATATCCACGCATAGGTGAGATTATGCTTTACAACTTTCGTTTAGACTCTGTTGGATAATTTTGAATTTATCTTTAATATTTTATTTTTAACAGGCTAGGACAGGAAAAGTTCGTTAAAAATTCATAACTTCTTCATCCGATATCCGTTTTCGTCTGTCTTTTTACCGTTGTACTATTATTGACGAGACCTTCGATTCTCGTTTAGGTTGCGTCGGCTAAAAATCAGAGTTTTTAGCTGTCTACTGCTATTCTGAAACTTAGAAAAATCATAATTTTCTCATATGAAGTCAGATTTAGACGTTCTTTTTATGAAAATTGTCGGTTTACCGAATACTACGACTTTCGTTTATATCACTAAAGCAAAAACATAGTTTATCGAAAATTCACTTTTTACGCTGAATAGTGTATATCGGTTTTGTCGCGAATCTTCGATTGGTCATAACTTCTTCGTTATAACTTGGATTTCGCTGAGGTTTTCGTCTAAATGTTTCTAACGATATTATCTACAACTTTCAATAATAAAATTTTACTTGTTTCAAATTTTATATTTTCGTCAAATTTAAATATTTGACTTTTGATTGAAATCTCATAAGACTTCCAATATTTTCCGAGTGATTCTAAACATGGTTTTACTTTATTTCTAGTAAAAGCTATCTGTTAGAACTCAACGCTCAAAATCACATAATATTTCATAATATTATTCATTTTTAAAAGTTACAAAACACGATAACCGAACGTGTATGTTACAAACGATCTCATGAATATACACATCGTCCAACTTCTCGGCTAATAAACTCTCCCGAACCGCCAGGAAATGAGAATTATTGATCAATTGATCCACGACCCAAATAGCATCAAAACCTTTTGACGTCTTCGGCAACTTGTTGATGAAGTCCATCGGAATCTTCTCCCACTGCCATATGGGAACCTCCAGAGGTTGCCTCATGTTCAGGTTAGGCTGATACATAATATGTCTCAAACTATTGTGGTCCGTGTAAATGGTACATCGGATCCCATAAAGATAAGGCCTCCAAATCTTAAGGGCAAAAACCGCATCCCCCAACTCAAGATCATGCTTGAGATACCTCGTCTCATGCAGCTTCAGTTGCCGCGAAGCATAAGATATCACTCCTCCTCTCTGTATGAGGACCGCCCACAACCCAATGATGGATGCGTCGCAGAAAACCACAAAATTCTCAATTCCCTCCGGGCGTGTCAAAACTAGGGCCTTGCATAGCCTCTGTCGAAGGGTTATTTTTTAAGCACAAGTAATATTTATAAATAGAAAAAAAAATACTTAATTTTTTTAATAAAATACAAATTAATTAACTCTCATATTTCGGCTTCACCATGTTGTACAACATTTAATAAACAGCTGTCAACATTATTATCATATTAATGTTTATGGATTTAGTATTTATTATTTAATGTGGAGATGTGAATGAAGCACATTAATAAATCAACATTAATTGAACTTTAAATTTTAAATAGACTAAACTGCACAAATGGTCCCTGTGGTACGTCAAAAATTACCACTTTGGTTCAAAAAAATTTGGACTAGCACCACAAATCCAAAGTTTTCATTTTGTTGCTTGTTTGGTCCAATTTATTTTAAACTTTTTTAAAATACCAATTTTTATCCTTTGTATTTTCTTTTTCTATTTATTTGTATTACAATAATTAAAAAGAAAAGAAAAAAACTCACCTGCATCACTACCCTACCCCTCCCTGCACTTCCCCTTCTCTTCTCTCTTCCTCTCTTTCTCTCTCTCTCTCTCTCTGAATTTTCACAAAACGAAACTAACGTCACCACCGACTTCCGGCGAATGGGGGTTCCGACCACCATAGATTATTCCCGATCGGAGCAACACCACCTCTCCATTTCTTTATCTCTCTCAACAACATTATAACTCGATGAAGATAGTAATCCAAAGAACAGATGGTTTGGTCGGAGAAAGAATTTAGTTAGAAGTAGAGGTTGGGACATACTAAAGAAGACGAAGGGCAGCGAAGATGTGAAAACCCAGATCGACGTTGAAGGTGGCTTCATCCTTCAGTAGTTCCGATTTGAAAACCTAGATACACATCGTCGTCTTCACACATCGACGACAGCTTCATCTAGAAACTCGAGCCACAAACGCCACCTTTGTTTCTCTCTCTTCTCCGATGAGTCTCGTCCTTATCATATCCTTCTTCTTCTTCTTCGGCAAAAACCATCTATCATCGATGTCCTTCTTTGTCGAAAACCCTAATCTAGATGAGATAAGGTAGAGGTGCTAGGGTTTCAGAAATTATTGATGGTTTTTATCGAAAATTGGGTTTACAAAGATGGTTTCCCGATGGAGAAGAGGAACTAAGCAGGTGAAAAGATGGTTATCGGTGGTGGTAATCGATTATGGTTTGTTGTATGTAATGTCGGCTTTCAGATCTACCAGAGGTTGGTGGTAGTGGAGACAATAGGGGTTGAAGGTGGTGGTGATTGACGGCGACGACGGTGTAGTCGGTGATGAAGGGTTCGTGAGAATTACAAAGAACAAACGAAAATGGAAGGAGAGAGAGAGAGAGAGAGAGAGAGAGAGAGAGAGAGAGAGAGAGAGAGAGAGAGAGAAGAGAGAGAAGAGAAAGAGATATTTATTTTTATTTTTATTTTCTTTTTTTTAATCTAAAAACTAGAAAAGCAAATAAGAAAAAGGGAAAATCATATTAATAATGGCAAATTTATCATTTTATAAAAAATCAAAACATACTGGACCAAAAACGCAACAAAATGAAAGTTTTGGATCACTGGTGCTAGTTCGAACTTTTTTGGACCAAAATGGTAATTTTCGACATACCACAGGAACCATTTGTTCAGTTTAGTCCTTTAAATAAGTCAAAGAAGAAATGCAATATTATTGAATAAAAAGACAAATGTACAAAACATTGTTTGTGTATATGTGTGTTTGTTTGTTGGAGTCTAACCATGTTAAACAATGTTTTGTTCTTTTAAAACCATTAATGGATGCCAATTTTTCATAACATTGTTTTACCTGATTTCTTTTGAATTTCTAATAGAATAAAGAAAGGTAGATTATATTGGCTAGTTTGGTTAACGAATCTTGTTATGACTTTTTTCAACTACTTATTATATCCTCCTCAACATATTCAAGTGTTAAGTGTAAACAAAAGTATTGTACCTTTTAGACTTTTTTAACATGTTGAAAATAATTGGTTATTAAAGGATAAACCAAGCAAATAATGCTCATCAAATAATCTATATAACCCCAAGTTATATATATAAAACATCAAACATGTCATTGTTATTCAAATATTTCATTGTTCACATATCCACACAACACAAACACCAGTCACAAGAAACATAAAGCCTCCCGCATGACAAATATTATATAGCTAGCTTCTAGACATCAACATAATAGAATATCCTCCTGCAAATCCCATTCAAGAAAGTGAACATTTATTAAAATTAGAATAAATTAAGTATTGAAGAATAAAAAATATAGAGTAAATAAAGTTTAAATTTTTAAGAAACTTACAATATGGAACCATGTTCCACCTTTGATTATCGCCTTTTTTCCATTCCCACAAAACAATTTTTGTCCCATCACGAACACCACCATGGTTTGCATCGCCATTAAAGGCATCTACATTGAGCTTGATATTGTTCACCATTCTTACAGTTCTATACCCATCACCTAAGTCCTTGCTTTCAGTCCAAAGAACCGATTCATCAAGTCTATTAGGGTTGTACTCAATCAGTTGAACCTGTTCAAGAACAATAAAGTTTATAATCATTAATCAGTAAGCAAATAGTCAAGTTATGACAAAAACAAGTTAGAGATCAAGTGATGAACTACTGATTATTGATAGAAGTAGAAGAGCATACCGGATGAGTTGCACCAATGGAGTGTTTCATGGCTTGATCAGTGGCTTTGTTGATCAAGGCAAAAGCCGGATAACCCTGTTCATCTTTCACCCTTGTGCTAAACTTCAGATCTTTAACCCAATGCTGTTTGAAATTCAACAAATTGGAGCAAAAATTGGGACAAGAATTAATCTGAGTTTGTAATTTCAGAAACAGAAAACGAAGAATTGAAGTTACCTGATGAGGATCGGAGGGGTTAGACGGTGCTAGAATCACTTTACCCTCACGGATCGTGAGTGAGAAATCGGGTCTCGCCTTGGTGTAAACCCTAACTGTGGGTTTATTGTCAGTGTATTTTTCGGGGATTTTATGGTGATCGGTATGGTGCTGATTGATGATCGGAGGCATGTGGGGGATATGGTGAGTGTTCTCGTGATAGACATGGTGGATGGTTTGCGGTGGTGGTGGTGGATGGTGGTATTCTGCCGTGTACGGAGGAGGGTAGACATCAACACGGTTTGGAGGTGGTGGGTAAGCAAGATGAGGTGGAGGAGGGTAGTGAGGTGGTGGTCCACCGCCGAAGTGTGGTGGAGGTGGGTACGGTGGTTCGTCGTCACGGCGGTGGTGGTGGTGGTGGTTGTGACCGTATGGATCCATTACTTGAAAACAAAGCTGAACTGATGAAGTTCCTCCGCAGGCAACGCCCAAACTTACATAGGGGAGATGAGAATATGCTACTTGTACACTATGCTATAGAAGTTGTACATTACTTTGAATTTTACTAGTTGTTGGAATATGTTATCAACTCAATACCACTTACACAATTACGATTATACCCTTAATGTTAACGTGTACACCATTGTTGTAAGAATAATAAAAAGTATATTTATAAGGTTAAGATAGTAAATTTATGTTGGTATAAATATTTTGGGAAAATAACGTGTCGTACTTGAATTTTTGGTAGATTAGCTAACAAGTAAAGACCACCTATTATTAAATGATACATGTATTTGGTATGGTAGTTTTGTATTTTTTTATTTGTGAATTTTGTTAAAATTAACTATCAAAATTTGTATTCTTAAAATATATAAAATTAAAAAAAGTTACAAGTCCTTAAAATTTATATTAAATTTTTTAAATTATAATAAGTATTTTTAAGCTCTTGAAATCATAGTTCCAAACAAAACTTTATTTTAATTCAAAGTTTTTGTTAAAAGTTGACGAGTGTTGGAAAGCTTTGTTTTGGAATATGCCTTAAATCACTATATTTTATCTTTATCTTATCACATTGTAATTTGTAAACAAGTTAGAGTGGCGTTTGTTAAAGATCACAATAATACGTTTTGATATTCGACCATATGAGGTGATACTAAGATGTTATATCGTTCCTTTTTTATGTTGGGCATTAGATTCGAGTTTTTATGACTTGACTAGTGTGGTTCATAATCATTTAGTTATTGCATTGCGGGGCTAATAGGCATGCAAAACAATGAAACGAAGAAATCTTGATTTTTTTAATCCACAACTTATCAGGGTAATCATTTTTATCGTTTTGTTCATGTTTAGGTAATTTCTTTATTTTTATAAACATTTGATCATTTAACTTGTTATAAATGTTCACACATTGCTATTGTCACCTGCTATAACAGGTGACAATAGCAATGACAATAGCAATGTATGAACACGTATAACAAATTAAATGATCAAATGTGTACAAAAAAAAAATGAAATTACCTAATCGTGAATGAGACGAAAATGTAATTACTTTTGCAAGTTATTTTCCCTTTACTGGATAAATTTGAATTAAAGATAATTACACATAAAACCCTCAAATCTTTTTAGTTTTAGTTAGACTTGACAATTTGTGTATTCATGTTATGAAAACATGTTAACCACGAATTTGATACAATACGATTACACGATAAGAAATAAGTTTTATCTCATTTTTCAAGATCTATTTGTGTTGTATCTTGTCTCTCATTGATTCTTGTATCTGTATCTTGAATTGCCGACTCTAGTTTTGGTTAATTCATCATCTCATGATATATTAACAAAGTAGTCCTTGTAATCTTTATTTTTTTCATCTTAAGTTTAAATCATATCTTGTTTGTAACAAAAAAAGAAATTGCTATTTAAAAAATATCACTAATTTGTTGTGACCATGAACATATTTCCAACATTTACAATATATAAAATAAATGTTATGTTTGATGTACTAGCTGAAAGGTTAACTGTTAGTTGAAAAGTTAGTTGATAGCTAAAAACTAGTTATTAAATAAAAAGCTAACTGATAGCTGAAAATGTAATTGATACAAAATGTCGTTTGGTAAAACTGACTGGAAAATATAAAATAATAAAAAAACATTTAAAAGAATATGTTTCTATAGTTAATTAAGGGATATATTTGGAAAATAAAAAAACTCCTAAAAAACTAGTATAAGTACTTTTTTAAAAAGCTACTTATTAGTTATTTTTTGGCTTGCCAAACATGACAAATTAAAAAAACTCAAAAAATAAACTACCTTATCAGTTAGCTGTGGTGCTCCAAACACATGCTAAATCATCAAAATCTACAATTGTTCATAGCGAGTTCTAATATAGATGCTAGAAAGAAAACACCTTTAACGTGTTTCTGAAATCGAATCATGACTTGAGGCTTTGAAATCGAAAAACAATCCAAGAAATTGCAGCTTCAATTGTTTAATCGTGGTCACAAGTATAACCGACTCTCTACTGGTCAAACTTCCTGACACAACCTATACATCACACTTAACGTTGTCTTAACCTTTTTTCACGTATATGCAAGATGTCCCATATGACAAGCAGTTCAACACCGTAATTTTTTTTAGCCTTCTATGACGGCGTGGTGTTTACTTTAAACATTTTCATTTAATTTAAAAGAAAATGCAACGAGAATCTTCAGTTATTTCAAACTTAAAAATTAACCACCACGTTATCATCTTTCAAAAACAACCGAATCAAAACCATTTGAGTTTAAGGAAAGCAAAATGGAACAACAGTAACAACCAAAACATGTCCAAGTGGTATCGCTTAAGAAAAAACATACTACCCAAATATAAGTGTCCCCAAATTCACCAATACATGCTCCTAAGCTACATATACTAACCCACATACACAAAATGCAAGAAACAAGTGTCAGCTCTTTTTGAGTGAGTTAACAAAAGTTTCATACAATCAAAGGGAAACGTAGAATTTCAAAACAAGTCAACAATTCGATTTACCACAAAACATATGATGCAAAAATGATCACATGCATAATTTTTCCATATGTTATCACTAAGAGCATAATTCACCGCATATCACCAAATTCATATTTTATTTAATAAATCACTAGATATCACCAAATTCCTCATTTATTATATAGTTCACCACACATCACCAAATGCCAATATGATGAAATATAATTCATCAATTATCACCAAATATAATTCACCAAGTAACACTAAATATAATTCACCCAATATCATTAAAGGCACCTTATGATAAGCATGAGTCTCTTAGTGCTTCCTAATCTAGGAGAACTATCTGGTTCACTACTTGTGTGTCCGCACCGATAAATGCTCTAAGTGGCACATGACTTCCACCTGAAACACCAAACCCGAGACTGATGTGAATTAAGTGCAGTTGATTTGGCATGCGGAATTGAAAAACACAAAGAACACAGTTATTTGGGTGTCTAAGAAATGTATTCAATCATGAAAGGTGTTACAAAGATTTATAAGCTAGATCTTGACAAATAAATAACTCACACTAACACTCTCAATGTTACATCTCTCAAGTACACCTCTACAAGTGGTATGCAACCCATTATATATAAAGGTGTTTACATCTCTCTCTCTCTCTCTCTCTCTCTCTCTCTCTCTCTCTCTTTCTCATGTCATAAGGCATCAGTACCACATGCAAGTGGGTCTACAAGAGTCAAACCATTACAAAGTCATTCATGCATATCTTTGCACCCCCAACATTCTCCCCCTCAAAGTTAGGAATGGATGACCCGCTTCAACCTTTAAAAATTAAGCAACTTCACGAACCAAGCCTCAAGCGTGACACATGTAGAAATGAACTTCAAATCTTCAATTCTTCAATGACCTTCCAATCCGGGTTCTAGAGTGTGAGACCATACAAACCGAGCATCAAAGGGCAATTAGGAGTATCCGAACCTCCACAAAATTACCCAAATTTGAGCATAAAAGCACGCCCCAAAAATCTTATATAAGTCCAAACCCATGATGAACTAATCACATCCAAATCTCAATCAAATCACATCATAAACTTCAATTGCTCAAGGGCACTTCGGTCTTCAAGTTCGCATAATATGAAAAATTAAATTTTCGAATTCTCATACATAATTCTCTCCCCCTTTTTTATAGTCGAAGAATGATTATAAAACCAAAAAGGAATTATAAAGTGCTCAATTTGGAATTTTCTATACAAACTCCCCTTTAACACATGGCATAAACATTTTCATAAATCGGGACAATCCAAAAAAAAATATCAATTTTTGAATCCGTTCTCGGACCACCTTTGACGACATTTCAAAAGTTTGGGTAGAAACTGTCAATTTCAAAATTCTGCAGTGACCTGGTGCGCCCAAAACAACCTTAGATCTGAACCTTTACCCAATTGTGAAACTGGGCATAAAGTGTTAATTCGCATTAATTGCAGGGACCTGTTTCGAAAATCTTCCCATTTGTCACTCTTCAACCCAATGTGGAAAGTGGGTAAATTCTGCCAACTTGCAAAAACTGCAGGTGCTCAAAATGGAAATTCAGCTTTTAACACAATTTTGTGACTCCATGTCGAAGGTGGGTTAGTATTGCCAATTCGTTAATACTTGAGGGATTTGAATTGACACTTTCTGTTTCTTCTTCACTGCATTTGTTATCAAGTTACGATCAAGGACCTTCGATCATAGCAAGTCGATACCCATAACGAAGGTATCTTCGACTTCTAAACACTCGATTTTGATACCTTCTCAATCGATATCCAAATCAATGACCTTTGATCTTAAGCCACATCCTTCGTTATCAAGCCATAACCTTCTTCTCGATGCAAACTATAAACCTATAACCAAATCTCGATCCATAGATGTCGAACTCGTCTATTTTGCATTTGACATCCAAATCAAAATCACCTTTGTTATCATTCCTTCCCAGTCGATCCTACACATTGAAATCCCATTCGCAAATCAAACCATTTGACATCAACTACTCGTTATTAATACCTTCCCAATCAATCCTTCGTTCTCAGCCTTGCACGTTCGACATCAAAATTGTTGGGCTTATAGTGTTACGTCATGGGCTTGGTCCTTAGTCCAGTTTTGGTAGCCGGTTTGGGCATGTCCAACCGTGCATTAGTTTACTCTAGGGTTTTAGTATTTAAGGTGCATGCATGCATCATTAGTAAGTAACGCTTTTATTATTTTTCTCATCAGTATTGTAAACCCTAGCTCGCCTCTACAGTGGAAGTTCTTCATTAAGCTCTGCTGAGGCGTGACTATATTTGAATCATAAGCTTTACATTGATTCCATATTGTGTTCATAATCGTATTGAGTTTGAATTGTTTATTCTTCATTAATATACCTGTGAAAGATCTAAATGATCTGAGATTTATTCTCATCAATTGGTATCAGAGTAGGAGACTGTGTAATTCATACACATCTCTTCTGTTGAAGAATTTATTAGGGTTTTTTCCGCATGGATTGATATTAATTGATCCATCATTCCTTATTGGTGTATCTCATTAATTTTCGATCTTACTCTAACGATAAATTACAAGTCTGATCTTAAACAGGTTATCGATCAAACTTCATCACAATGTCCATGGATGATTCATAAACCAATCCAATCAACATCTCCAAGAGTATTGGATCAACGGAAAGGATTCCAATCTTATACACTCAGGATTATGAGGTTGGGATGCACCACTTCGAAGAT